TGCACAGGCTGGTCATCAAACCCTACCTCAGGGCACAGAAGGAGAGGTGAGCTTGCACATTCCTGAGGAAGTGTCACGTGGGCTTATTTGTGCGAGGCTGTGGGTCAGCTGTAATCGGGGTGGGTGCCTGAATCTCAGCTGTGTATTCCTGATGAGATGTTGCCTTCCTTCTGGCAGAGAGCTGGAGAAGCAGCGGGAGAGCACAGCCAGTGACATCCTACAGAAGAAGCAGGAGGCTGAAGCTGCAGTGAGTGTTTCTTGTAACTCAGTCCCCTTAGTGAAAGGAAACTCTTTTCACTCTGGACCATTCTCCTTTGGCCACAGTGTCTGACCCTTTGTGATTTCTGCTCTGCCACTTGTGTCGTGACAGGTCCGGTTAATGCAGGAGTCAGTCCGAAGGATAATTGAAGCAGAGGAAGCCAGAATGGGTAAAGATTATTATATCATTTTATTTGTTCTATAAACACGGAGAGAAGAAGGAGCAATGCAAAGGTGTCTTCATTCCCACTCCTGATGAAGTGCAGTGTAGTTGGTGCTGAGCACATAGTGGGGAAGTCCCATTATGACTCAGCTCCAGGTGCCTGAGCTTAGGAAGGATCACAGAATATTATCCTGGGACATGGTGTGAAGTGGATCAACAGACTGAAGACAACAGTCTGGCTTCACCTCCTCCCCAGAGAGAGGTGTGTCTATAAATAGGTGCAAAAGTTATAGTCTGAAGTTCAGCTTTCACTGATTTCTCCCTTACACAGTTTGCTCCTGGATCATAGTGGGAATCTGATCTCTTATGGTTACTAGCAATTTTCCATAGAATGTTCCAAAGTGAACTGATTGGATTGTCACGTCAGTGTGGCACTGAGGTCCTGTCACTCCATTCTAGTGCTGAAGGTTGATAACAAACGCCCAAGTAAAACTGTTGTTCTTTGTTGGGAAGCGTGGGTCCAGGCTAGGAGAATTAAATCTCACTGAAAGCAAGAGAAAATGCTGGGATGGTCTTTTTGTCAATGGAAGCCTTCCATCACTGCTGTGATTTCCTCGGAAATGCAGGTCTGATTGTAGTGAATGCCTGGTATGGGAAGTTTGTTAACGACAACAGCAGGAAGAATGAGAAGGTGAAGGTTATAGATGTGACTGTGCCTCTGCAGTGCTTGGTGAAGGATTCTAAACTCATCCTTACAGAGGCCTCCAAGGTACGTAGATGTTCTGTCAAAGCCCAGATTCAGGGACTCAAATCTGTGGCCCAAAATTCTATTTGAGCCATGTGGTGTCCTGCCAGGGGATCTCTCCAGTGGCTCTGGATCAATTCACAGATGCCATTTACATACCAAGTATCACAAACTTCCAGGAACTTCTGTTTCTTGGGGCTTTTCCAGTGCCAGTGGGACAGTGGGTGTTACAGACCTTGGGACTGTACATCAGAAACTTCCCAGCCCCGATTTACTTTCATGCACCAAAAATTTGTGGAGATGATTCCCCAGTGTCTCAACTTGCTGGCAGCAAAACTTTTTTTTTTTTTTTTTTTATGACACCTTGTCCTTGGCAGTAATAAATGTTTTTGGCCATCTGGAGAGCTGTGAAAGTTCATTCCCTGATGCTCAGTCTGTTCTTCTGTGATTCAAGGCTGGGCTGCCAGGCTTCTACGACCCCTGTGTGGGTGAAGAGAAGAGTTTGAAAGTGCTTTATCAGTTCCGAGGAGTTCTGCACCAAGTGATGTCAGCTGACAATGAGGCCCTTAGGATACCAAAGCAATGTAAGTAGCACAGACTTCCCACCATCTTCCTTTGGGAATCGGTAATGGACTACTTCAGCTCTGTGGTGAAGCACACAGACTTGGGGTTCAGAACTGGGGTTATTGGAATGGACTGGCCATGACTTGCTTCTGGACTAAGGTCCAGAAGAACTCAGCAGCAGCTCTGCAGCTGTTTGTACCAGCTTGTCTGTATCTCTAACTGGGGCTGGAAGGAGAGGCTTCCCACAGGTGCCAGTGTCCTTCTGTGCAGTTTGCTGCACTGGGTGGCCGTTTGGGGACTGAATTTAATGTATGAAGACCTGAGTCAGATTTCTTTCTTATCCCCATTTATCTTACCTGCCAAAATATTTTCCCTGCTGGAATAGATCTGTGAAACTAGTATCTGCTTTTGGCAGCTTTTACTGGCACTCCTGTGGGTCTGGTGGGTTGACTCAAGGGCACAGACCTTTGTTTGCTCTAGACCATCTCCCTGCCCAGTGTGAGCAGCATATCCAACTGACAGAACTTCCAGAAGTGCATTGGAGGCTTATTTGAATTGTGTCTAATTAGCAGCCAGAAGTGTTCCTGCCTGTCCTTGGAACAATGCTGGGCTCCAGCACGTGTCCATTCCTTGTTCTCCCCGACAGCTCACAGGATCGATGCCGATGGCTAATCCGGGGAACACGCATCTCTCACGGTACCTGGGTCAACGGAAACTGCAAAACCTCCCCCGGACGCTGCGAGTTTGAACAGAGACTCTTTTATTTTTACTGTCTGTACAGCAGCCGGTGTCCTGCCGGTTCTGTTAGGGACAAAAGGACAGACCCTGCTGCTCCAGGCGGCTCCCAGGCAATGTCTGAGTTGTGGCTCGGTACCCAATAAAGCAGCGTGACTCTGAGTGCACAGTGCTTTCTGCCGAGGGGCTGAGCGGGCATCCTGCTCCCAGCTGGCCACAGCCCCTTCCTGCACTCACACCTCTCTCCTGGCACTCAGCAGGGACGAAGGCCTCTTGTTCTCATTTCTCCATGTACTTCCTGGGGTAGGTAACACACCTTCTTCTTCTCATCAGGGGAATTTCAGTTCTCTGGCCACCTCCTGGAAGTCCCCTGTGCAAATATTTTGGAGAGAGGTCAGTGATTGAAACAATCTCAAATCTGTGTTTGAAATGCACTTGTTAAGAAAAGTATGTGCTTAAGTATGAATGAATTTGCCTTCTGAAGTAACATGGACCTCTTCAGCACCAATCTGTCCAGCTGTTCATTTCCAACACTGCTCTTCCAGACAAGGACATGGTGTATCATAGTTTTATTAATTCTTCTGCCACCCACAACCATGTATTGTCAAGGATTTCCAGAAAAGAGGGAAAGCAAGTGAGGGTGAATGACAGCAATTAATTTCATTTGATTCTGATGCTGCAGCTATCTCTTCACATCTAATTTATTTCTAGCAAAAATAAATGTAGTTCATGAAGTAAACCATACCAAAGTGAGGAGAGGCCAAATGAATAAAGAGCTGAAAATGTAACACTCACCTGCCCCTTCCGAAAAGCAGCAGTTATGGCATAGATCATTGATTTTTTTTTCTTGCCTAGAAGCCCTGCCAGGGATTTCCAGCAGAAGGGCAGTCCTGGGCTGGTGATACAGCAGCTGGAAATAGCACCTTGTAGACCTACACACATCTGAGGCTTTTGCAGAGAGACAAGGAATCATGGTGGCTGTTCCTTGATCATAGTTTTGCTCTGGCTAAGTCCAGACCAGCCTTCATTGCTCATAGGTGAGAGCAGAGGGGAAAACATCCATGTCTTGACAGTGCAGAGTTGCTTTCGACAGCTCCTGCCATAACTCCTTTCCTGACATGGACCTGGCCCCTGTTCTGTGCAGCTGTGGTTCTCTGTGCTCAGGTCACTGCACCAGGTGAATGAGATTTCCAAAAGAAATGCTTTCCCCTGTAAAAAGCAAGGTCATATTATGAAAGGGTGTTCATTTGTTTTTATTAAAACCAAAACTTCTCAGTTGTGACTAGTTCCTGGTGCAAGGCTTTATTTCACTTATGGCCAGCGTTCTGTCAATCTCAAAGTAAGTGTAAAATGTGCAATAAATTATATTCAGCTGAAATGCAGCTCCCATTCCCTTTGCATCTGTAGAAAGTTCCTGAGATAAAACCCCTGGAAAGCAAGGGTTGCAGGTCTTGTAAATGTAACAGCATTGTCCATCCCATCCAGCTTACTGACCTCTGCTGAGTGGGACTGGGCAGAAATCTAAATCCTCCAGTTCCTTTGCGATGTCACTGTGTGAGGTGTTATGGTCAGAAGTGAGGAGTCAGCCAGTAGAGACAAGGGCATGGCACAAGAGCATCCCTGAGAACCAGATGCTTGCTTAGTCTCCCCAGCCCCCTCCTCCTTTCTTCCTTGTTTTCTGTCAGTGCCAAGTTTTGCTAAAACTTAAGAACAGCCCCACTGCAGAACCAGTCTTCACCACCATATTCTTGCTATGGGCAGTTGCCATTTTACAGCCACAACTCCCCTGGGACTTCTTGTTATGACTCTCTATAATTCAAAATTACCAACAGAATTAAGATAGAAGCTTTAAGCAAGCAGAGCTGAGCTCCCAGTGTGACCTAGTGCCATTTCCTAAAGGCTGAGCCACTTTTCAGTTTGCCAAGGTGTTCAGGCTGCCGCTTTGATGGCAGCTGGCTCAGCAGCAGTGCCTGTGGGGTTGTGGCACATATACAATCTGCAGGGTGGCTCCAGCAGCTCTTGGGTAGTTTGGAATCCTTGGTGCTGCCTGGTGGTGGGGAGGGAGGGAGTTCTCTTTCAGCACAGCTCCCAGAGGGTTCACAGGGGCTTGCTCTGGGGTCTGGCCAAGCCTCCAGTCCTTGCAAGGGGGTACAGTGCTGCCCCAGGGCTGTTTCTGAGGCTGCAGGGACCTGGTGCCAGGACTGTGCACTCCAACACCATCAGCATCCTGGCCTGAGCCCTGTCCCCCAGCTCAGTGATTGCACCCTTCAGCAGGCCCCTGGCACAAGCCCAGCTGTCCCTGCTGTCTTCAGCCACTGCAGGCAGTGCCTCCCTCCCAACCCTCCAGGGCTCCATCACCATGTCCCACACTCTAAGCAAGGAGCAGCTGCTCCACAGAAAGGTGGGGATACCTGCCAGCTCTTCCTATCCCCGCCTCAGTGTATTGTTTTGGGAAGAGCACTTCAAGTGTTAAGTCTTCCTGCTGCCTGGCACAACAGCTTACAAACCAATAAATCATAACAGCAGACTCCTGAGTTTGGAATATAACAAACTCATTGTTCATTTGTCTCACGTGTAAGAAAAAAACATGGTTCATTAGAAGTTTTAATGAAAAAATAAAGTTCTGAATTAAACTATAATTATACATGGCTGAAAGTGATGAACTAAAAGAATGGAGATGTTACTTTTTTATTTCTCTCTGCTGATATTGTAACGTGCTGGACACCATCCACTGGGATAAATCCAAAAAAGGGACAGAACAAGAGTCAGTCACACTGATTAGTGTTGAACCTCTGTGAAAAAGAGCCAGTTCACTTGACAGTGCACCATTTCTCCCATAAAAGCTTCAGGAACACAGTCCACAGAGGCCCAGTTGAACTGCAGACACACTGTAAACACAAGAGATACGAATTTCAGACTAGGTCCAACTCTTGTGCAGTTGTGGCCGGGATCTTCCAAAGCATTTCTGGGGAAATGGCAGCACTGGAGAACTTTGGTTATTTTTCTGGCTGCAAAGGACAGTCAGGCAGCCATTGGGAGCGAGTCTTTGGCAAACTCCTTGGTGGTTCCACATAGCTTCTGAAGGCAGCACAGTACAGTCATGGTTGAGAGATTTCACAGATGCTGGTTTTCTGAACCCAGTCAGTGGTTACAGCTTGGTGGAACAAGATTTTTATCAAGAACCAGGAGAGAACAGCTGCATGTTGTGCATTTCTGTCGCCCTGCCTCACACCGGGGAGCCCCAGGGCCCTGTGGTACTGGGCTGCCTGAGGTTTTGGCAGCCCTGGGGCCAATGTCTGAAGGAGGGCACTTGACTCTGTGTGCTGGCAAGACCCTCAGTCATCACCAGGATGCATCTCCCAGTGAGCCAGTCCTCAGACAAGGCAGTGCTCCAATGCTGTGTGACTGCAGAACTCATGGGGTCGTGCTCCTGCTGGTGTGGCTGCAGCTGCTGTGCCAGCCAACGCTTCTCTGAGCCTCTTCCTGGACAGAGCACACGCTGTTCTCCAGGCATAACTTCAGAGAAACACCTCAAAACATCAACCCGATTTGTGTGATCCATGTGGATCTGTCTGGTCATTGAGGAACAATGCCAGCATCTCCCTGGCCTTGTGTATGAGCTGTGATTTGCCATCGTGGTCCTGAAGGGATTTCCCATGGACTAAGGCCCAGGAGGTCCTGACTGCAGTGCTGGCCAGGGCCTCAGAGCTCTCCTGTCCACACCACACCAGACGGATCCTCATTGCACTTCATCCTGTAGCTGCATTGCCTGCATTTGATCTGTGTCATTGCTACCAACAGAATAAAGATTCTGGCTTTTTGGTTACAGTCCAGTTTCAAAAAATAAACAGCAAAAGCAAAAATCAACTCAGCTGTCATTCTTGGATGGACAGGATCAAATTCCAAACCAGACCTGCCAGGTTCTACATTTCCTTTGGCCCCTTTTACAGCCCATGTTTGAATTCTGGGCTGAGAAAAAGGAGAGTCATCTTCTTAAAACAGCACCATAGAGGTTAATGAAGGGACAGGAAATGGAACAGTTTCCCCCCATACACACATTTGAGCTGTTCATGCAAATAAATCACAAAAAAAAAAAAAACACTGTAAGAAGAGACCTTCTAGGAAGGAATCTGATGCCACTGATCCCCCAAGCTGCCTGTCCAAGAAAAGGGTTGCCCCTTCCTCCCAGGGCGCTGTCCCTTGACATAGGAGGGAGCCCCAAGTCTCATTTGCACTTGGATGATGCCAAATGACAGAACTCCCCTATGCTCAGGCCTGTGGAAGCAGCAGCAGATCACACAGAGGCCAGCAGCACTGAGGCTGACTCCTATGGAGTCTTAGGATATCTAAGATTGATCTATACGGACAAATGGGCAGGTATAATATCACATTGAATTTAAAACACAGGGCCATTTACTTTTCAGACTCTTCACACAGACTCCCTCCTCCTCCCCTCCTTCTTTGGGAGGAGGAGGAGTTTTCTAGCACAGAGAAGATTTGCAGTTTCCCAACGGGATGAGAAAACCTACTTGGCAAAGGTATAGTACATCACCCAGTCATCGTAACCAGACAAAACTCCACTGAGCTCAGAGAGCTTCGTCTGTCCCTCGAGACAGTCTCTCGCCCAGTTCTGCCCAGTCGGCCGCTCCCAGCTCCGGCTGCCCGTGGCTCGGTGATTCCTCATTCCCAGGCCACAGGCCGGCTGGGCAGCCCTCCCACCTGAGCAGCAGCAGTTCAGGGGAGCCCTCCCCGGCCTCCCGGCCGGGCCCCACAGCTCACCCACCCGCGCAGCGCACCAGCACGTGCCTCCCCCCTAGTCCAGAAAGCGCCTGCGCGAGCCCGTCCGGGAGCGGTTCGAACGGCGAATGTCAAACTTGGAGTCCCGGCACTTCTGGCAGATGTAGACCTCTGGGACATTCGACTTGCGGATTTTGGCGCAGGAAAGGTGGATCCAAGTGTGGCACTCGTTGCACTCGATCATCGGCCGCCCAGCGAAAGGCTTCATGCAGAAGCAAGTGACCAGGTCCCACGAATCATCATCTGCAAAGACAAATATCAAAGATACATTTTTAGCGGCTGATGCCTCTCACACCAGGAATTTTCTCTCCTTACATGCTAAATTAACTACCTGGGTTTCAAAGATAGGCATTTTGCTGCTGTTCCTCTTGCACAAGAAGAGACTCTCAGCAGTACACAGGAGGCCATAATCGAGGATATGCTGCTTCTATAAAGTTGCAGCTTTTCACTCAGTTTATTACAGAAAGAGCCAGCCCACCTTCCTCCTCCCAAAAACCCAACTGCTCCTGAACTCCACCCAGGCAGTGCTCCTCTGCAGTATCCTCAGGCTACAAGTAAAGCATCATTACTTCCACCTGGCTAATCCTCTTGGACAGCCATGTCACCTACCTGAATCCACCATGATGTCCTCATCATCACCAGTGCCATCCTCATCCCGAAAGACCACCTGCTTGCCCTGCCGAATGACCGTTCGTTTGCCCACGCTCTGGATCTCCACCGTCTGCTCGGCCGTCACAGCAGGGTAGGAGACGCTGGACGGGGTGTCAGAGTCCCACACTGAGCAGTGCTCAGTCACAGACTGAGGGTCACCCTCTGACGAGGGGCTCATCGGCGTCTCTGTGTAAGAGTCCTCTGCCTCCAGATCCAGCAGCTTCTCCTCATAGTCCTCCTCTGCAGACACCTCTGTTTCCCTCCTTTTCAGCTTTTTCTTCTTCCTGATCTTATCGATTTGCTTTCGCTCTGGCAGGAAGTTGCTGGTCTTTGCCCGCTGGAACAGGGAACCATACGGTTTTGTTCGCTTAAGCTGACTAAAGTTCTTTCTGTTCTTGGTGGGCAGGGAGACAGAGGAGGGGGTGTCATTGAAGCGGGGATCCCAGCTATCACTGTCAATCGTGCCTCCAGTACTGTTGGGAGGGCTGGGGCTGTTCCTCAGCGGCGTTTCCTGGAACACGTTAAAGAAGCAGGTAACAGTTTGACTCTGAGCAGACTTGTGTGTGGTGCAAGGCACTGCACCCTGTCCCACAGGGCACTCTGACCCATCCCTGAGATGCTGTGCCCTGTCCCCTAGTGGTGTCCCCTGTCCCCACGGGCTGAGCCCCTTCCCCCGGGTACTGTCCCCTGTCCCCCAGGGCATTATGACCCATCCCTGAGATGCTGTGCCCTGTCCCCTAGAGTGGTGTCCCCTGTCCCCACAGGCTGAGCCCCTTCCCCTGGGTACTGTCCCCTGTCCCTGAAGCACTGTGCCTTATCCCCTGAGCTGCTGTACTCTGTCCCCTGGGGAGCAGTGCCTTGTGCCCCAGAGTGCTGTGCCCTGACCCCGGGGGAGCTGAGCGCTGTCCCTGAAGCACTGTGCTCTGTCCCCGGTTCCCAAGCCGCTGAGCCGTCCCTCGAGGCGCTGCCGCTCCCGCTCTCCCTACCACCACCCCGCGGTTTCTCGGGCAGCTCCCGGGCGCGGGGAGCAGCAGGAGCGATGCCGGATCCGACGTTTTTCACCCCGCCCACGCCGGGCACCACCCGCCCCGTCCCCAGAGCCTCCGGCCGCCGCGGTTCCCCTTTTGTTCAGCCCGGCGCGGGGCCGTGACCGCTGGAGCGGCCGGTCTGACAGACCGGCCCGGTGCCCCCCGTGCCCCCAGCCCGGCGCCCCGCCCGGTGCCCCCCGGTGGAACTCACCTCCTGCGGGTACGGGATGTAGCCGGCGTAGGCCAAGACGAAGGTGCAGAACTTATTGAAGTCCTCCACGGTGCGGTGCCGCCGGGAGCCGGGGGAGAAGTCCTGCGGGGGGCGGGGGTGAGCGGCGGCCGCGGCGCCGGGCCCGCCGGGGGGAGGCGGCGCCGCCGCTCCCGCCGCGCCCCGCGCCGCCCCCCCGCCCCCGCAACGGCGGAACCGGGCAGTGCCCCCCCCCCCATCGCCCCCCGGTGTCTGCACCGGGCCCCCAGGCAGCCTCCCCGGGGAGGGCACGGCGGGGCGGCGCCGCCGCCATTCCTCGCCCCGGCGGCACAAGATGGCCCCGGCCCCGGCCCCCCGCCCCGCGGCGGGGAACGGGCAGCGGGCACCGGCGGCCGGACGGGGCCGGGCCGGGCCGGGCCGGGCGGCGGGACACGCACCCCCTCCCCTTCTGTTCCCTCCCCGCTTCTCCCTTCCCTTCCTTTTTCCCCCCGCGACTCCGGCTCACCTCCGGGGCAAACGGCGAAGCGCAGGAGTCGGAGTCCATGTCCCGGCGGGGGCGCGGGCGGGGCCGGGCGGCGGCGGCGGCAGCCGGGCAGCGCCGACACCGCGAGCGGCTCGGTGCCGGCGGGAGGCGGCGAAGGGGCGGCCGCCCGCGCGGGGCCGCCGGGAGCCGTAGTCCGGGCGTGCGCAGTGCCGGGCGCGGGGCGCGCTGGGAGCGGCGGAGGGGCGGGGGCGCTGCCGGTGCCGGGAGCGGCGAACGGAGCGGGAAGCGGAGCGCGGAGCACGGCGGAGAGCGGATCGGTGAGTGGGGCCCGGGAGTGGCTCCTACCGGGTGGTTGTGGGCCCAAGCGGGAGGGGCCGGCCCTGGCTGGCGGCGGTGGCAGGACGGGCAAGGCGCCGAAGCGCCTACCGCGAGCCGGACCCTCAGCCCCGAGGCGGACCCTCCGCCCGCGCTAACGGCGGTACCCGAGCGGACTCGGAGCGGAGCTGCCTCAGCGCCGTCTGCGCTCGGGCCGCTCTTGTGCTCCCCCGGTACCATTGGGCGGCTCCTAAGCGCCGGCCCAGGGCCAAGGGCGCGGGGCTGGGCGCGGTAGCTGCGGGGCCCTGGGACCGGCCCGAGCGGGGCCGCGCTGCCAGCGCCGCCGCCTGACGCTACGGCCGCTCCCGGCTGGGGCGGGCTCCCCGAGCCCACCGCCGCCTCCTTGCCTGATCCAGGTGCGCTCCCGCAGGCACGGCATGGCGACAAGCACCGGCGGGACGGCAGCGGGAGCCTCAAGCACGGCGGCGGCGGCGGGAGAACCGGCACACGCGGTGTCGCTGCTGCGGGGTCTGAGCGCGCTGCGGGCCGAGCGGAGCCTGCTGGACGTGACGGTGGTGGCCGGCGGGCGAGAGTTCGGGGCTCACCGCGCCGTCCTGGCCGCTGCCTCGGGATACTTCCGCGCCATGTTCGGCGGAGCCCTGCGCGAGTCGCGGGCCGAGCGTGTGCGGCTGCACGGCGTCGAGCCCGAGTGCCTGGGGCGGCTGCTCGACTTCGCCTACACCGGCCGCGTGGGCCGGCTGGGCCCCGACATCGCCGAGCGGCTGCTGCGCGCCGCCGACCTGCTGCAGTTCCCCGCTGTCAAGGAGGCCTGCGGTGCCTGGCTGGCGCGGCAGCTGGAGCCCGCCAACGCCCTGGACATGCAGGACTTCGCCGAGGCCTTTGCCTGCCCGGAGCTGGCGGCTGCCGCCCACCGCTTCGTGCTGCGGCACGTGGGCGAGCTGGGCGCCCAGCTGGAGCGGCTGCCGCTGCAGCGCCTCCTCTCCTACCTGCGGGACGATGGGCTCTGCGTCCCCAAGGAGGAGGCTGCCTTTCAGCTGGCACTGCGCTGGGTGCGCGCTGACCCTGCCACCCGTGCCCCGCTGCTGCCACAGCTCCTGGCCCACGTCCGCCTGCCCTTTGTGCGCCGCTTCTACCTGCTGGCCCACGTGGAGAGCGAGCCGCTGGTGGCCCGCTGCCCTCCCTGCCTGCGCCTTCTGCGTGAGGCCCGCGACTTCCAGGCTGCCCGCCTCGACCGCCACGACCGGGGGCCCTGTGCCCGCATGCGCCCTCGGCCCTCCACTGGCCTCGCCGAAATCCTTGTCCTTGTTGGTGGCTGCGACCGTGACTGCGATGAACTTGTCACCGTCGACTGCTACAACCCACGCACTGGCCACTGGCGCTACCTGGCCGAGTTCCCCGAGCACCTGGGAGGGGGCTACAGTGTCACTGCACTGGGCAACGACATCTATGTCACAGGTAAGGCATACAGAGAATAAGAAGCACCAGGGTGGAGGGTTCTGTTGAAAATATGTAGGTTGTAGCCACAACATTTGGCTTTTCCTGGGTAGCAGAGCGTTTGGGTCTTGGCTTGGGTGCCTGCAGCCTGCCAGTAGGCATGGAGACTCCTGGAGTCGGTGCTGGATTTAGCAGTTGGTCTCAGTCCAGGAGCTATTTTGTCATGACTAATGCTGTTGAGCATGCTGGCAGAAGTCACAGATCTTGTAGTTAGAACTTTTTAACCGTCACTGAGGACAGGGGTGATGTAAGAAGGTTTTGAGTTTCTCTCTTTGAAGAAGGTGTTCAGATTCAGAGCCCCCTGAATCACATGCTTGAGGCTGAGGCATGTCAGAAAACTCCAGGTTCTTTCACCAGCCCCTGTGAGTCACGGTACCTTCCCCTGCACAAATCCTGCCTCCTTGCTGGGGTACAATTACTTCTGTCAAGGTGACACCAATATGTAAATTTGGCTGATAAGCTGTATGCAGATCCCTCCTTTGAACTACATCTCTGTGACAGCTATAACAAACTGAGGCCCAGGACACTGAGTGCTGTGGAGCAGCCTGCCCTCGGTGTGCAGGACACACTGGCACACCTTTGAAGAGCAAGTCTTAATGCAGGTGAACAGAAAACTGTGTGTTCTCTAGTCACAACCAGAAAACAAGGACCTGCTTTAAGGACAGCATTGTAAAAATGACAGGCTACCACATGGATGCAGCATGTTTTTACAGAAGCCCTTACATCCTGTGGGAGCTTTCTGGAGTGATCCCAGGCAGATCAGTCCTGCTGGGAGCTGTGTACAGGCTGCTGCTGGGGATCTTGGGTTGGTTTGGGCTGTGTCAGTGTGACAAAGGCAAGGCTGGGAGATTCCCAAGCTACCAGCAGCACCACTGCCTTGGCAGCTTCTGGGCAGTGACTGAGGGGGGACTGTAAAATGGTAGAGAAGTGGGTATGAGAGGACAGAGGTAGTGAAACATGGAAGACTCATTTTGAGTCTCAGCTATGTATGGACTAGGAATGACATGGGAGAAATCCTCCCTGGCTTGCTGGGAATGAAACAGTGCAAAACTTCTCTTAAAATCCTTGTGGCACTTGTGCTGAGCCAAGCCCTCTCCTCCATCACCCTTCCCTTTGTGGAGCCAGGATTTTGACATGTGTCATGCTGTGCCACAGGGGGCTCGGATGGGTCCAGGCTGTACGACTGTGTCTGGAGGTACAATTCCAGTGTGAATGAGTGGACAGAGGTGTCGCCCATGCTGAAAGCCAGGGAATACCACAGCTCCACGGTCCTGGACGGGCTGCTCTACGTGGTTGCCTCTGACAGCACGGAGCGCTATGACCACACACTGGACAGCTGGGAGGCCCTGCAGCCCATGCTGTATCCCATGGACAACTGCTCCACCACCTCGTGCCGTGGGAAACTCTTCGCCATCGGCTCCCTGGCTGGCAAAGAGTCCATGGTCATGCAGTGCTACGACCCCGACAGTGATCTCTGGTCCCTTGTCAACTGCGGCCACCTGCCCCCCTGGTCCTTTGCCCCAAAGACCGTCACGCTCAATGGTCTCATGTACTTCATACGGTGAGTAGTGGGAGCAATCACTTCCCTCCCTCCCCATGTCCCCATGAGGAGAGCCCACAGCTTCCCTGGGAAGGTGGATTTTGTGGATTTTGCAGGTAGTGGACGAAGGGCACTGGGTTGGGACAGCACAGCAGTGCTTCCCCTGATGGTGCAGGGAGGGCTGTAACACTTCTTTCCTTGAGTTGCTGGGCTTCAAAGAGCTGCCCATAAACTTGTGTGAAAATGTCTGAGTGTAACCCAGGGCTGGAGAACAGACACGTGTAAATCCATCTGAAGTCAGCAGCACTGCCTGGAAATTGGCTTCTCGGTTTCTTCAGCTCCTGGTTCAGTCCCCCTTGTTGCTATAAATAAACACATAAGCTCCAAGAAAACGTTAAACTCTAGTGCAGGAGAGGACGTCTTCCGTCTCAGCAGAGATAAGAGGGCTGAAGATGAAGTGATTGGTCACTATTTTTAAGCACCTTTCCAAATTGGGACTTAATTACCCATCTGAAGCTGTCCTGGTGGCGCAAATACTTCAGTTATCCGCTTAATTAAAAATAAACGGGAAGGCATGCTAGGGCTAGAGGATTTCATCTCCCTGTGTTGACTCTGAGCAAACAGAGACTTCTGTGATGGCCCCCAGGCACTTCTCTTTTTTTAATCTCCTCTTGGCTTTGCATAAAGTGGCAGCTTTGGCCCAAGACTTTTTATTTGATCCTTTTGGGTCCAGCCAAGTGTCTTGCTGGCAGCTGTTCTGGTCAGCTGGTTTCAGTCCATCCTGCCAGGGTGTTGCAGCTGCTCAACTCCTTGTCACAACCTAATTCTATAGAACTTCCTTTTTCTTACCCATTTTAAAATACTGATGATTGACACTTCAGGATTTTCAGATGACTTTGCATCTGCAAGAGTCAGTGAGGAGATGATCAGGGTTAGATGTTCTTCCCTCATTTCATGTGCTGCGTGTGCATGGGCTGCTGCTCCTTGTAGAGCTGTGGGATAATCTTTGGAGGACAAGAGTAGTTTGCAAGTAGAAGTAGCAAATTGGTTTAATAGCTCAAGCTAAAGGCTCTGAGTGATGATACCTCATGCTGGGACTAGTTTTATACCTGTAAATAAAGCACAGGAGTGAGGTTCAGGTGTTCTCTGCAGTTGCCCCAGAGCTGCCCCAGAGCCCCAGAGAGGGGAGAGGAGCCCCTGGTCTGGCTGCTGGCCCCATGTGGAGCTGCCTTGCAGCATCTTGATCCCATCTGTACCAGGACTGTCTTGGAAGGACTGACAGCTCCTCTCCAGCTGCCCTGACCTTGTCCTCCACGCATTCTTGTGTCAGCAGTGCATGTCTCCAAGTTGCAAACATCCCTCACCTGTCACTGTCGCCCTCCTGTCTGCCGAGCAGAGTGGGTAAGAGAAGCCGTGGGGGATTATGTTGCCTCCCCAGCTCTTCTCTCCCCCTGCCCATCTAAATTTGGCTTTGATGAAGAACCCAAGCAGCATTTCTAGAATGCAGAAGAGTAATTTTGTGTTCTCTTCCCCAGAGATGACTCGGCTGAAGTGGATGTTTACAATCCATCAAAGAACGAATGGGATAAAATCCCTGCCATGCTTCAGGTAGGACATTTTCCCACTTGCAGGATTTCTTAAATGTTATAAATTAGTTTCATTTACCTTTGGAAAACCAAAAGCTTTTTAGAATAAGAACCCCTTGCATGTGGAGCTGGTTTAAGTGTGTTGGAGTCCTGGATGTGGTGGCATGTCTGGGTGTGCAGCCCAGCATG